TTGTGTGCGTGTACCGTCAAATCAGATCTGACTGGTACAGGAGGAGATTGCCCCTCCTTCCCCGGCAGAGCATCTGGTGGATTCGAACCGTGCACCTCTGGGATTGTAGTTGCAGCTTCTTGCCACTAGGCCACCAGAGCTCCCCTATAATTTATAATTTGATGCTATAATTTAATTAAAATTTTATGTGTGTAGATAGAATCTAGCAAAGTCTAGAATTTCAAGAAAGACAATGAGTGTTATTGTGCAAGTTTGTCTTAGAGGTGGCATTTGGAGGTGGTGGTTTTCAGAAAGAATAAAACCCTGTTCATATAGTTTCTCCAATTTGATACAGGATACCGAAGAGTATAGTTTAAACTATGTCTGTGACCCTATTACTAGTTAACTTGTTAAAGACTGTTTGATCCTGTGATAAGTTTAATTTGTTAATAAAATTAAAGTCGTAACGTCATGTTCAAGGAGAAATTAGCGCTCTCATTGATTCTTGGTGGTGGTTGTTATGTGCCGTCAAGTCGCTTATAACTCATAGTGACCCTATGTACAATAGCCCTAAAGCCTGCTCTATCCTGTGCCAATCTCACTGCCTCTGACACACCCATCCCGATTCCCCCAGTCCCTGAATCAATCCACCTCATAGAGGGTCTTCCCTTTCTGCGCCGTCCCTCCACTCTCCCAAGCATGATGTCCCTCTCCAAGGAACTGTCCCCCCTTGCAACATGCCCAAAGTATGTGAGATGAAGGCCCGGAATCCTTGCCTCCAAGGAGCAGCCCGGTTTAACCATCTCCAGGATGAATCTGTTTGTTTTCTTGGCAGTCCATGGTACATTCAATACTCTTCTCCAGCACCACAACTTAAAGGCATCAATTCTTCTCTATCCTCCTTAGTCATTTTCCAACTCTCTGATGCATAACAAGTGATTGCAAAGACCATAGCCTGTATCAGATGCACCTCAGTCTCCAGAGTGACACCATTGCTCTTCAGTACCTTGGAGAGGTCCCTAAGAGCCGACTTTCCCATCGCAATACGTTTTTTGATTTCCTGACTGCTGGTGCCAGAGGGTTCACCGTGGAGCCAAGCAGACTAAACTTGTTAACCATCTCAATCTCTTCACCATCCATCCTGATGCTGCCATTTGGTCCAGTGGTGAGAATCTTTGTCTTCTTGACATTGAGCCTCAGTCCATACTGAAGGCTGCAGTGCTTGACCCTCTGCAGTAAGTGCATGAGGTCCTCCTCAGTTTCAGC